TATATATATATATATTTCTTTTCACTTCAGCTCTGTCGAAAAAAAGGCACTGTCGTCGCTTATCTCTATTACATTTGGAATGATATATGATTTCATATGTACTATTTCTTCAGTTCCATTTACCTTGCGTACCTTGTATTTTAACACGAAAATAACTTAGTTCCTATAAAAAAAAAAAAAAAGTATAATATAAAAGTACTAGAAGATGTATGTACTTTAAGAAATTTTAAAACTGGTAACACGATCGTCAGTTCTATTTCAACTGTTAATTTGTGTGATAAATCAATGATAAATTTTACTTTACAAAATTATTTCCATCGATATCTTGAGACTCGAATGCATCGCAAATAGTTGTATTTTCTTTTTAGAACAAATCATTCGTTGACATCATTACACGAAATGTATTTCAATTTACGTTGGTTGTGGTAGCTGTTAAATATATCTATACAATATATGTATAATGATTAAGGTGACTTTAAATGACAATCCTAATTCGAACTTTATTTAATTAAAAATGCAAGGAAAACGAAAGAATTAAAAGCACAATTAGTCACTGATCAACTAATTCTAAGAAACGATCTCTATAGGATAAGGATTAAAGAAACTTTAAATAATAGTAAGTAAATTGAAAATTATATTAGGTACCCAAAAGTTATTGCCGATTTTTTGTTGAAACACAATTCTATTTTTCTGATTTTTACGGATTCTTAGAAATGGGAAAAACTATTACCGCTAACATCTATTGTGTGATAGATTAGAAAGAGTTCAGGAAAAATTATGGAAAAAAAACAGCCAGTATTGATAAACAAGAAGAAAGTGTCCGACCTCGCGTGGCAAACATGATAGTGAATGGGAGAATTGTGTCCCATCTACCATATTAGCCAAATCTTTTCGTGATCCACGAGGAACAAATAATTCAATAATGAAAAGTGTCCAGATTTTTCCGCGGCAGAGCAATAGATGTTTATAGAAACGGCATTCATAAGTTATTAATCTTTGGGAGAAAGTTGTGAAATATGACAGTTCAT